CTCCCTCCCTCCCTCCCTCTCTCTCTCTCTCTCTCTCTCTCTCTCTCTCTCTCTTTCTTTCTTTCTTTCTTTCTTTCTTTCATAAAAGAGCCAAGGTTGCTTATCCCTGGTCTAGTTTAATAAAAAGAAGGAGTAGGGGGAGACATGATAGCTCTGTTCTGCTTTTTGAGGGGCTCCTACAAAGATGAGGGGATCAAACTATTTTCCAAAGCACCAGAAGGCAAGACAAGAAACAATGGATAGAAACTAACAAGCAGAGAAGCAACCTTTTACTAATGGTGAGAACAATCAACCAGTGAAATAGATTGCTTTCAGGAGTTGTGAGTGCTCCATCCCTGGAGGCTTTCAAAAAGAAACTGGACAAACATTTATTTAAAATGGTATTGAACCTGTGCTTTAACAGACGGTTGGACTAGAAGACCTCCAAGATCCCTTCAAACTCTATTGTTCTATGTACTATGTTCTATCTCTCTCCTTTCAACTGGACTGCATTGCTACTCCTATGGTTACCAAGTCTCTATAGAAGTGGTGATGTTTATGAGAAACTGCTGGATTATGTTCTTTTGTGCATACGGAAAAGATCACAATCTTTGGCTCAGCTTCCCATCTTCCCAGTGATGGGTAACTTCAGAGTACAGTGGCAAAGTGAAAAAAAATGAGTGCATTAAGTTGACTTTAGCAAACGATTTGGGGATCAGTAAGAAGCTGCTTGAGCTATGTCAACATTTTCTTGAAAGATATCACAGATTATTTGATGTTTACTTTTTTAAGTATGGTATTTGTAAGTTTCTTTTTCTTAAAAAAAAAATGCCAAGGAACATTTTATTACATTTTAAAATGTAATTCCTGATCCCAAGGTGCTGTCTATATAAATCTCAACAAACCTACAAAATTGCTATCTATATTAGATCAGCAAATCCTCTCCAGCTGAGTACTGGGCAATGGGTTAAGAATAAGAGGTAGAAGTGAAATTCCTTGGTAATAAAACTTCTGAGCCTTGACAGGTATAAAGATGCCATTTCAAAAAATGATGCCCAGACTTCCATATTATACTTTTTTTTTAATGCTATATATTCACTCTTTTTTCCTTTGGAACTTCCATTTATTAACTTCATAGCATACTCAGATCATGGAGTGGCTAAAAATGCTTTATATTATGTGCTGCAAAGATGTGATATATATATATCATTGGAGACTTTCACAAAGATTCTCTATGGCCACTTGTCTGGAATGGCATAGACTCTCCTCCTCATGCAGGGAGTTGGACTAGAAGATCTCCAAGATCCCTTCCAATTCAGTTATGTTCTAGGTTCTAAGTGATAGATGCTGTTGCAAACATCTAAACATGAAGTCTCCTTGGACATATTTGTATGGATGTTGACCATCTCCATCTACAAGGACATTTGTAGCTTTCTAAAAACACTGACTGTAGTAGCTGCCCACTTTTCAGATCTACCTCACTGTTGTAGATTTCCTGTATCTGACAGATGTCAACACTGACTGATATGTTTTGCAAATATTCAGAAAAAGTGCCTGAACCGGTTGACCGTGCTCACCACACATTTATTTAAGAAGATGACTTATTTACTTATTGAGAGTCAATTAAACAAACAAGCCCTTTAATCAATAGTTTGCATACAAAAAGGTAATAATTCAAAGGAGCAGGCCGTATTGGTGTAAGAAAAATAATAATAATAACCAGGCTAATTATTAAGTGCAAAGTAAACAAACTCTGGAATGGTGTTTCTCAACCCCAATAATTCTAAGATGTGTGGACTTCAATTCCTAGAATATTCCAGCTATATTAAAGCAAAACTTTCCACTGACATGCAGTAATTGTCTACATTTCTAGACATAGGTCTCCTCCCCTCTTCCCTCCCAATTCTCTCCTCTCCCCCTCCCCTCTCTCCTCCCCTTCCCAACCTCTACCTCTCCTCTCTCCTCTTCACATTGTCTGAAGATGTGGAAGAACTGGATTTGATCATTATGTCAATCATCTCCTACATCTCTGCTTCCACCAATGCAGTCTCAGAAACTGGCCTACACCACAGTTCTCTGTAGCTCTGTTTTACCTGCCCAGACTATTCAAAGTAATCCGGGACAGCAGAGGAAAGTTTATATGTAATCTCCCTAGCAGATGTCAAAGGTTGCAAATGAATCGGGTGCACATCCTGCGACTCCAGCTGGAATACAAATTAAAGCATCCCGGGACATTGACTGCCCACCCTTGATTTGAACACATCTTAGAAAAGGGACATTCACCACACCATGTGGCAATCAGTTCCACTGTTGAGTTTTTCTGTTGCAGTTTCTAGTACCCGCTCCAGAATCTAAGCGAGCGATCTTTATCGTAGTTGCCCTTGAACAGCTTCCATGTGGCCCTTTTAGAAAAGAGGTGGCCGCCATAAATGCCCATCTTTACCATCCTCTGGCATTCCGTTTTAGGGTTAAAATAATGTTTGCAACCCACTAGGCATCTTGATTGATTGCTTCACTTCCTGCAGTTGCCTCCGATTCAATTCAGCATCTTTAACCAAGTCATTTATTGTATTTTTAAAAGAAAAGTGTGGTGTTGTGTGGAGGATTACAAGAGGATCATCTATCTAAGAGTGAGAAAAAGAAATCTCCGCTCCATAATGCAGATTATGAACTACCATTCGCTGAAACAATCTTTATTTCAGTAATCCTTAAGGTACATTTAGACCATAGATAACAAATTTGGGCTATAAGCTTTATCAGACAGAGCCTTTCTTTAACAGCTTCATTGGGAAATTGTGGAAGTGATTGTCATTTTGAGCAAGATTATAGTCTACGTTAAAACATACATCACACTTTGAATCACAACTGTCATCTATAATAGGAGGAATTTATTGATGGCCACTTGGCTTTCATTAGAACTTAAAAACAAGTGTTCTTTGGAAATTCTCCACTATGTTTCTAGGCAAAGGCATTTATTGGATGAACAAAATACAGAATAACAGACTTGGAAAAGATTTTGGAGTTCTTCTCGTCCAATCCCCTGCTCAAGCAGGAGACTCTATACCATGGGTGTCAAATTCACAATGTCACATGATATGTCGCGACGTATCGCCACTTTTTTCCCATTGCCCACAATGGGAAGGGTGCGGTTTTGGCGTGACGCATCTGGCCCGCGGACCAGGAGTTTGACACCCCTGCTCTATACCATTCCAGACAAATGGTTGTCCAGTCTCTTCTTAAAGATCTTCTGATGGAGCACCCATAACATCCAGAGGTGAGCTGTTTGTATTGACAGGAAATTTCTCCTTAAGTCTAGCTGGATCTCTCTTTGATAATCTTCCTTTCATTACCCCTTGTCCTTCCTTCAGTTTTTGGAGAATAAGTTGACCCCCTCTTCTTTATGACAGTCCCTCAAGTACTGGAAGACTGCTCACATGTCATCCCTAGTCCTTCTCTTTGTTACGCTAGACATACCCAGTTCCGACAACCTTTTATCTTATGTTTTAGCCTCTAATCATCTTTGTTGCTCTTCTTTGCACTCTTTCTAGAGTCTCAACTTCTTTTCTGTATTGTGTTAACCAAAATTGGACACAGTATTCCAAATGTGGTCTTACCAGTACAGTATATAGTGGTTCTGAGACTTGATATGATCTTGATACTGTCCCTCTTTTGAGGAAACCTAGAATTGCACTGACCTTTTTGACAATTTCTTTAGGTTTCTTAATGGAAAATAGAAACCAACCAACCATTTCCCAAGGGCAACATTCGCTCTTAATGGTGCCAGAAACTCTTCCTCTCTTAAAGGCAACACAACATTTTTCTGCCTCATCAGAAATGGTTTACCATGGGCTGAGAGAGAGGAATTGGCCCAAGTTACCCACTTGGCTTTGTGTCTAAGATTATATCTTGGAGTCATTCTTAATTCCTGGCAACTCCAAAAATAATGGACATGGGTTCTCCTGCTTTAGCAGGGGGTTGGAGTAGAAGACCTCTAAGGTCCCTTCCAACTCTGTTATTCGGTTAAGATTAACAATCCTCGGAGTTCTAGTGGACAATCACCTAAATATGAGCCAGCCGTGTGCTGCAGCTGCCAAAAAGGCCAACACAGTGCTAGGCTGCATTAACAGAGGGATAGAATCAAGATCACATGAAGTGTTAATGCCACTTTACAAGGCCTTGGTAAGGCCACACTTGGAATACTGCATCCAGTTTTGGTCGCCACGATGTAAAAAAGATGCTGAGACTCTAGAAAGAGTACAGAGAAGAGCAACAAAGATGATTAGGGGACTGGAGGCTAAAACATATAAGGAATGGCTGCTGGAATTGGGTATGTCTAGTTTAGTGAAGAGAAGGATGAGGGGGGACATGAATAGCAGGGTTCCAATATCTCAGGGGCTGCCCCAAAGAAGATAAAGCGCCTGAAGGCAGGACAAGAAGCAGCGGATGGAAACTAATCAAGGAGAGAAGCAACTTAGAACTAAGGAGAAACTTCCTGACAATTAGAACAATTAACCAATGGAACAACCTGCCTCCAGAAGCGGTGAATGCTCCAACACTGGAAGTTTTCAAGAAGAGACTGGACAGCCATCTGTCCGAAATGGTATAGGGTTTCCTGCCTGAGCAGGGGGTTGGACTAGATGACCTCCAAGTTCCCTTCCAACTTTACTATTATTATTATAATCCCTAAAGTAAATTCCAGAAGTGATTTAATACAATATTTTAAAAGTTTAATGTAAATGCATACTGTAGTAAGGTTTTTTTTAAAAAAAAAAAATTCCCAGAAGAAAGGGTCAAATCTTTATGAGGGTTTATTGGGAGGGGAAGAAAAGGGAAGCATTTGTAAATCCAAAATGCCATTTTGATTTAACCTTCTTGGAGAAAAAGAAAGATTGCATCTGCAAACAGACTTGTTTCCCCTGCTCCTTTTGTCAATAGCAAAGTTGTTTTGCTAATGGTTATCTGCCAGCAAGTCCTTGACCTGCTTGTAAAAACTTTTCCCCCTCCTCTTTTTTCCCCTATAGGAAAACCTTGGGCCACTGTCCTTGTGCCTTTGCATCAACATCAAGAGATATAAGTGACCACAGCTTAACCTTCACTGGCCTGGAGTGCCCTCTACTGCCCTTTGTTGACCAAGTGACTTTGTAATCTATGTCCTCCTCTGAAAGGAACGGAGAAAACTCAACAAAAGGTAGGTCTGAAAGAGAGAAGATGCCTTAGTCAGGAAGAAATCAATTTCCTGAGCTATCTTCCCTGTTCTATCAAAATGGGAAAGTCTTAATTCAAGACCCCTGGCAATTAAAGAGGTCAAAATATATATCTCTCTCCCTCTCCCTCTCCTTCTCCCTCTCCCTCCCTCCCTCCCTCCCTCCCTCCCTCTCTCTCTTTCTCTCTGCATGCGTGTCTATCCAGGTAAACCTTGACTTACAACCATTTGTTTAGTGACCGTTTAAAGTTGCAACGACTAAAATAAATGGTTTACGACCAGTCCTCACACTTACAACAATGGCAGCAGGGAAACTCTTGTCCCAATTGTGATGGTAAGTCAAGGGCTACCTGTACGTACGTAGACTTAAGTTTGCGAAGCAGATTTCTTGATCGCCTCGGTCTTTCGTCCCATCTTGTTGCAAGAGGCACTGCATCTTGGTACCCAAGGGGTCATTATAATCCCTACCTTCAGATTCTAGAATCTGCACAAATGAACTAGGTGGATCCGAATTAGACAGAGTTTGGAGAAATACTACCGGTATTAGAAGCAGGCAGTTTCATTTCAATTTCATTCTGTACATTTCTCAAAATCGGCGTGCCATTCTTCTTGTCTTCCCATTTTTCCGAAAGAACAACTGAATTGAGTCCCAAGGGTGCTTTCTCGGGAGGCAACGGGACAAAAGCACTTTGGGGACAGCCATGACTGGAATGACTGAGAATCTCATAGTCAACTGAGTTGAGTCTTCACTGACCAATAACAAGTAGCAAGATTTCAATTCGTCATCAAACTGGCTGCGTTCCCACTGATTTCAATGAACTTGGTTTATGTTGATTAAATCTAACTTTAACTTCCAGCCTCCTTTAGAATTGTGGAATGTTTTTAAGTGTGCTAATTGCAGGATGGTGGCAGTTAAGGTTGAGACTGTTAAGCCATCTTAAAAAGGAAGCATGTTTGCAAAAGAAAAGTGAAGACAGAGAAGATGTTTTAAAAGACCATAGAAAGAGAGATTATACTGCCACGTGTTTCGATGCAGCAATGTCCCTTTGTAGACTGGTGTCCTTCAGATTCCCAACTCAGCTTGACTTTTATTAGACGATAATATAGCTTCTAACATTATCTTTATTTTCCTACTTATCCCTTGTAGCCATTTTGTGAGACCACCCTCAGCATTTTTTTTTTCAAAATCCTAAACGTGTTCCCCAGCCTGCAAAGTCTTCCTTCCTTGTCTGATAGAGGAACACAACACGTGCATTGCTAACCATCAAATTAGATGGAACGCATATTTTGATTTCTTATATAGCCGTCTTCCACACTCCCAAATGGATCGAAATTTTAGCAGATCTCCGTCAGAGGGAACAATGAGTTCTAGATGAAGCTTGTTTTGCTTTATGTTGATGAAAGAAGATATTGGTAAGTTTGCAAATGGTACAACGGCTGTTGTTGCTTATGGTTCCTAATTGTGGGAATGCAGATCTCCGTGCAGTTTCTGTAATATCATCATGAGGTCACTTATGGCAAGTTATGGAAACAATACAAAGAAATAGCCCAACCCCTAAGAGATTTCTGAGCTGGAAGCAAATAAAGACTGTTCCACAGGGACTCTAACTGGATTCCCTGAGCATCTTCAGGTATTGGAGCATATTTCACTGTGATATTCATATTGTCAATAACAGCACCTTTCCACAGGAAATGGGGACATTTTCTGTAAACATAATAATATTTGGATGGCAAAAAGTACAGTAAATGTTATAGTGGGGAAAAAAAAGAATTAAATTTCCTGAGCATTCCCTGGTCAGCAAAAACATGCCCATTATTTTCCTAGTTTGCTGAATCAGTAGTTTTGTGTATTTTTTTAAAAAACAGCAATGACTTTTCAGATTCATGAGGGTAGGGAAGGTAATCTTCATATTTATAAGGACAAGCTGTCAAGATTTTTTCCATAATTTATAAACTCCTTTTAAGGGAGAGAAAGAAAGACTGGGAAGAGGGGCTGCCCAAGAATCTTGCAAGTAATGTATTAAGGCAATAGGGCAGAACCCCAGAACATGATTTACAGAAAGTTAAGCCTGATGCAAAATTTCTTTAATGTAATTGGAAGGAATCATCTTGGTTTTTTAAGAATCTCCTACAGATATCTATACAAATTAGAAGTATTTTACTTTGGATGGATCATTTCCTGATAACCATCATTTACTTTTGGCCTTGATGTTCCTATTTAGCTCCTACTGTTCCAAATTTCTACAAAAGGCTAACATTTGCAACCTGCAAGAACCGGCCTTGTACAAATGGAAGAAAACAGAATATTATGTTCAAGTAATTTAAGTCAAATAGAGGTTTACCCTTTCAGCTTTTTTTTAAAGCATTTGAAGGCAGAGAGAGAGAGAGAGAGAGAGAGTGAGAGAGATGCGTCTAGCTAATGCAACCTTAGGCTGAAACTTTAAGATGGGCTGACTTCAACTCCCCAATCAGCCACGTTTAAATTTCTTTACATTGTCTATAAGTCTATAATTTAAGTAGTAGTAATAGAAGAGAATACTTAGTCATTAACATCACATTATTCCTCATAATTATTACTACAAGTCAAGTTGACACATCTAAAGATGACATTCACCGTATAATATATCCAAGCATGATGTCTCTGTTCTGAGTTTTAAATCTCCATGAAGGTCTGCATCCCAGGCTGATAATGGCGTAGCTCTTATCATGCCTTGCCATAAAACATGACAGCATGTATGAACATCAGATATTCAAACACTGAAATATGTAAAGCTATTTTTCTATAATTGGTCCCAGGGCAAAGGGTTGATCTCGCATATAAAAGCCTCCAGATATATTCCTGGACAGCTCCTAATTAGGGAACCAAAAAGGAATTGAACTTTGCAAACTGTGATGAGACCATGATGTTAACTACAAAGAGGGGGAGAGAGAGAGGGAGAGAGAAAGAAAAGAAAGGACATAATCATATTGACCTTGAACTCCAAAAGACCCTGAAATCATCTGATTTTTTTTTTTACTCTTTAAGCTTCTTAACAAGCATGGGGATTAAAGATGAGCTGTGTAGAACGGCTTGTATTAGATATAAATGATAGCAGACAATAGCAAGTGTATTCAAGTTTCTTAGAGCAAGTTTTTTGTTTCTTTCAAGATATAGTGATATCACCTAACAGTGCAATAGGTTAACCTTTGATAACAAAAATGGGGACGTTGCTTGGAAAGCATTCCACATTTTTTAAACAGTAAATTGTTTATTTCTTGCATGTTTAAGAGCTGTGATGGCGCAGAATGCACAATTGCAGGCTAATTCAGCTCACTGTCAGGAGTTCAGTCCTGACTGGTTCAAAGTTGACTCAGCCTTCCATTCTTCTGAGGTCAATAAAATGGGGACCCAGATGGTTGGGGGCAAGATGCTGACTCCGTAGAGAGGGCTGTAAAGCACTATGAAGCGGTATATAAGTCTAAGTCCTATTGCTATTGCTATTTTTCCTATGTCAGATTTATTTATTGATTGGTTTAAGATAGAATGAATATTCTGGGGCTACTGGAGTATGAAGCAGTGGAAATTGAAATTAGATAGGGCACAATTATATCAGGTAAGTAGAACTCTTGTGAGAGACAAAAGAAAGGAGTGTTGATTATTATTATTATTTTTAATCTTGCAATCCATCTAAAGGGCTCATGATGCAGTTTCTATGCTCCCCATCTCAAAACATCAGGTAGCCATTATCCTCTATTGATTGACTTATTCAGTTTAGATCTGTCAGGCTTTCAAGATTCTGCTACTATGGACTGTATCAGTAGACTCCCAATATTTCTGCTGTAGACTGTTTCCTGAGCTGGCCCACTTTGAAGAGCCAACATCAATCTTGAAAACTTGACAGTTTTTCCCTCCTTCTTTTTTATACCAAAGTGAGTTGAGGTATAATCAATTTAAGTTTCTTTCTAATGGTGTTTTTGTTTCCTGGGCTTAATTCGCAACTTTCAAAACTTATGTTGGTAAAATTTGAGAGTGCAGTTTGAAGGCTCCCCAAGGCTTTGAAGTGAAGGGAATCATATAAAATCTTATGCACATATTGAAACAATGAGTCTACAATAGTAGTGGCCAGCCTTACCTGCTCAACTAAATGCCTACTACAGCCTTAATCCCTCATGGCTAATGTTACCCTATATGGTTTCCCCTAATACATGTTTTACTTAGAACAGGACTCTAGATGCATATTGTCATAACATGTATCATGTAAGGGGGATTAATGCACGTGCATCCATGACAAGGAAGTGGAGGCATCTCCCATATGATTGATACATGGGCACTGGGGAAGCCATTGGGTACGTCTAGTTTGATGAAAAGGATCAGGGATGATAGGTTAGTAATGTTCCAAGATTTAAAGAGGCTGCAACAGAGAAGAGGGAGTCAGCTGCTGACTGCCCTGACTGGCTTTTGGAACTTTGGACTGGATTGTGACTATTCTTCTGTGTGCACCTGTTAAAAGCAAAAACACTTCTTTCTTTCAAAGACCTTGTTTTGGTTTTGAATTTTCCTTGCTGTTATTTCTTCAACCTTGAGTAAACTTAGTTTCCAGAGCAACTGTGTGACTGTGTAATTGAAACTAGAAGCAGGACTCTTTCAATCTGAATCTTCAAATGGAATTGCCAAGCCTATTGGACACATCAAATCAAATAAAGTGCATTTGATTGAACTCAAGGAGTGAAGAGTACATAGACTTGTTGCATATAAATCTTTGTTGAACTGAATATTCATTAGACTATCTGATTAAAATAACAAACATGAAAATGAATTGAGTGGCACTGGGTTCCCAAACCATGAACTTATTTCTGAGTTTGTGCCTCACTTCCAAGTAAAGATGCTGAAAATTGTACAAAAGACCTTCATAAGGTGAAGAAAAGTTTCATTAGAGCTTCTCCTTGGTTTCTAGCCATTGGTTGCCATGTGGCTATGAATATTAAAAGAATCCATTCTTTCTTTG